CCCTGTGCTTTGCTAAGCTTGTTCTAAGTAGGTGCTTTAGACCACTGAGCCATCTCACCAGCCCCTAGCCATTTGTTTTTTCCTACTGATGTCTCAGTCTCTCCCTATCCTTATCCTTTTTCTTGCCCCACTGGAAGGCCTTCCTTGATGTTTTCCAAATTCCGGAGAGCAGGATGATAATGCTACTTGGGCGTGGCTCCTAGAGCAGAGACCCGAGTGGATCTGGTCCTCATTTCCCCCCTTTGTTCCTCTCTACTTGGTGCGTCGGGATAACTTGGTACCCGCTAGCGTGTAAGCTGTTGTCGTGCGATCCCAGTCCTAGCCTTCGTGGCTCAGCGCGGGTTCTAGGCGACCTGCCTAACAGGAAGGCCGCTTTCGTTGACCTGTGCAGAACTCTTACTCTAGGGCTAAGGGCGAGATCACCAGCATACCGGTAACGCACTGATGAGAAGCGGCGAGACAAACTATTCAAGCCTGGTTGGGTTTTTCATGGACAATTTCACAACTCTAGGAGGTTGATTTTTTTTTTTTTTTTTTTTTTTTTAATATCCTCAACTGAGGAAGCTGAGGCATAAGAAGGTAAAGTTGCCCAAGTTCACACTGCTACTAAGACAGGTGGAGGGTTTGGATTTCAGTAACCTGACTCCAGAGTCTGCCTTCTAAACCACAGGGATCTTCAAAGGAAGAGAGGAAAAAATCAAAGAGATGCAAAGCATGGGGAACAGGGCGACGCCACCTTTCCAAGTGGAAAGAAGTCTAGTTGGCCCAGTGGGTAGACTGTTCAAACTTTTCCTTCAGGGTGTCTCCTCACTCCTTTTTTCCTCCAGTTTCGCCACGATATCCAGCGTTGTGTACCGAACCAACCGCTACCGATGCCCTTAAACCCACGAAAGAGGGCCGGCCTCGCTGTACTCACTTTTTGCACAAACGGGGCAAAGCGGGCGCTTTTGGCCAAGGAGCGCTTGAGAACGGCTCTTTGATGGGAAAACCCCACTACTTGTCTGCACCCCCCAGAAGGCGCTTTCCGAAAGACAGTGCTGGGCACGGCCACATTCAGCCCAGGTGTACTCGGTCTTTTCAGACGCCGGGCACCCTCAAGAGCGCTTCTCCAGGGCGTCGGGCGTCGGGGGACTCCCCAGGAAGAGGCTCCCTCCACAAGCTGAAGCAAGGATCTGCCTGGGAGCTCAAAACTGCAGTGTCCCCGGAAATCGCAGACTCTGCCCCCCGCAATGCCCAGGCCCCCACACGGCGTTTCGGCCCCTACCCCGGGCTGAGGGAGGCGGGGACAGGGGCGGGGCCAGCGGGGGCCGGGGCGCCCCTCCTCTCCGAGCGGCTGTCAGGCTGGAGGCACCGAGCCCCCTGCGCGCGGCACATGGGGCGCTGGACGGAGGCGGCGTCGGCGGCGCGCTCGGCCGGGCCCCCTGCCACCCCCCTGGTCCTCTCCGCTACGTCCCCGGGGTGCGCGGTCACCATGGCGTCCAGCGAGGAGGATGGCAGCAACGGCGGCGCTGCGGAGGCCGGCGAAGAGAAGGAGGCCGCCGGCAGGAGGAGACGCCTGGGCTTCCTGGCCACCGCCTGGCTGGCCTTCTACAACATCGCCATGACCGCGGGGTACGTGCGCCCGCGGGGCCTCCTCGCCGCGCTCACTCCGACTTTCTGGACTCGGGGAGGGTGAGCGGGTTGGGGCGCGGGGGGCGGCGTGGGGGAGGGGCGCGCGGTGAATGGAGCGGCGGGCGGGCGGGCAGGCGGGCGGGCGGGGCCGGAGCGCGCAGCCGGCGGGCATTGCCTAATACGGTGCCCGGCGTGCCGGCCGCGGGGCGCGGGCTGGAGGTTAAGTATAGACCCGGGCAGGAATGCGGGGCCGACCCGCGGGGGAGGCGGCTGCGGCCCGGCACCTCCCGCTGCTGTTGAAGAAAAGCCTGGGTCACGGTCACCGCCCCCCAACCCAGGCCTGAAGCTGTCGGAGCCCCAAACCCGCCTCCCGGGCCGCGCGCCGCGCCTATGCTCCTGCTGCTGCTGCTGCTGCTGCTGCTGCTGCTGCTGCTGCTGCTGCTGCTGCTGCTGCTGCTGCTGCTGATCGATCCGCGGAGATTCCTCACTTCTCCGCGACTTTTAGTTACTTATTTATGTAAGCATAGTTCTTCCTAAGGTTCTTCACTTAGGACGATTTTTCTTTCTTAAACTCTCCCCTACTAAGGTCTGGTAATCGCGTCCAGAAATTTATGATCGCAAGCTCCATTACTGATATCCTGTACTTTTATTTCTGGCTCTTGGTGTGACTTACGAGTCAGGGTTACGGAATGACAGTCGCTCTTCAACAAGCTGTCGGAGTGACTTCGGTGTCAACTGCTCTCCAAACCTGTTGTGAAAATACTTCTCCGCTCTTTCGTTACATTGCCTCTTGGAAAAGCTATTTTCCTAGTGTCACACAAAGTATTATTAGACTATATAAATATAAGGAAAAGTATTTTAAATTCTTTCCAGGGTTTATGTAGAACAATGTGATTAACAAAGATTTAACAATTCTTTGAGTATGGTATTGACTATTAATGTGCTCAGTTTGCAAATACTTAAAAAGCTTATAAATCTGAATTTATTTTATTTATTTATTTATTTATTTGCCGAACCGGGGATTGAACTCAGACTCTTGCTTATTCCACTGAACCATCTCTCCAGCCCCAAACTGAGGGTTGAACCCAGGCTCTTGTGCTTGCCAGGCAAGTGCTTATTCTACTGAGCCATCTCCCGGGCTCATAAATCTATATTTGTTGAGGATTTACTGTGTGCCAGATTGCCTTTTTTAAAAAAAGATGTCTTAATTTCAGTTTTCTGCAGTTCTGTGAGGGAAATGTGATACTGCGTTTTACAAATAGAGAAACCGAGGCACACACAGAGTCAAAGCCACTTGCTCAAGATCACAAACAGTGAAGGTTGGTCATGGATTTCGACCCGGACTATGAGAGTCCAGAGCTTCAGTTGTCTCCTTTCCTGCGGTTATTAATCTTGAAAGAAAAGTAATATATTCAAGCCAAATGGAGATCATTTGGATCCCTATCGCTGCTGCCTTTTGATGCAGGGGGCACTGAAAGGCTTCACTGGGATGATCTCCAGCAGCTAATACACACTTCAGAATGCGGCACCTGCCCTGTGTTAGTTGGTTGGTGGCCCCTTCTTCTAGCCCTCTCTCCTCTTTGAAGGCCAGCTTCCCCTTTCAAAATCAAACAGCCCCACACAATTCCAGTTTAACATCTCCAGTGAAAAGAAATACAAAGAATGAAGAAAGCCTTCAGTGATTCCCTGCTACTCTGGCCTCCCCAAGGACCTGAGGCTGTCGGTTATTCAAGGCCATTTGCAATGATTCCACTTTCCAATTTTCTTGCCTTGGAACTCTGCTCAGGTTTCTGTTCCTCAGATTCCTAATCACGGCACTTTGCATCTTTGCTCAGCTTGTCACTCGGTGTTTTTCCTGTGACTTCTAACCAAGTCACCCACTTTGAAGTTTTCTGGGTGACCTCCCTCAGCCCAGCAGGATTAGATGTTCTCTCCCTTGTGTTCCCACAGCTTGCTGTTCGCCTCCCCTTCCCCAGCGCTTTTTCTAAGCTTACCTGTCTCTGCCTGTATTGAGAACATCCCTGGCCCTTGTTGTTTCGATCAAGTGAGAATAATGGCAATGAAACTCTGGGTGGAACTTTTCTACCAGCATTGAATATTGAAACAGGAATAGAACTTGCATATTTCAAATGAGATAAATTATAGAAATGAATAGGAGATGCAAGCCTGGTGTATTCTCTTGGTTGTATTAGAGGATCATGTTAGGGAATAGTGGTAAATCAGGTTGGAGAAATTGTGGTTTTGAAATTAGGCTGAGATCAGTACATTTAGTGGGGTGACAGAGGGGTGGCTGATGGATGGAGGTTCTTTTTGTTCATCTACCTTGTTTTGAGCAACACTTTGGGGAGTATAATTTTTTTTGTAACATTGAAAACAATAAAATAGTAATTAAGAAATATAACAAAAGCCTACACAAATAATGAAAAGGACTTATTTAATCCTACAAGGCTAGTGTAACCTTTCATTTTTCCATACTATCTTTCTTGAGTGTCAAGCATGCAAGTGTTTACTCAAATCTCCTTTTTTAGGGAGGCTTTATCTGGGCATCTTCATTTAAACGGGGACCCACATACCAACACTTCTTATTACCCTTCCCTGCTTTATTTATCTCTGTCTCACTTATGACCATATAACTGAACCATATAGTTTACTAATTCATCTTTTTTTTCCTTTTTTTTGCGGAACCAGGGATTGAACTCAGGACCTTGTGCTTGTCAGGGAAGCACTTATTCTACTGAGCCATCTCCCCGGCAAGTTTATTAATTCTTCATGGTTTATTGTCCATCTTCTCATTATAGTTCAAGCTTCAGGAATTCCTCAGTAAACATTCACTGAATGAGCAAATATATACTTTAGTGTATTGTTGTTACAATACCTGCCCTATTGTATATTCTCTGTTTTACTTAGTAGTCTAACAAGTATATATGCCTTTCATAATTATAATTTTTCATGGCTGTACAAGAATGTATAAAGTTAATGTACAATAATGATAAAAGTCATGGCCCTGGTAATATTTTGATTTTGTTCATGTTGAATTTTGTGGTTTGGATGAATTTTGAGATGTAGAATTAAAACTTTGAAAGATGTAAGGGTTTTTTATGATACTTGCTCACAAGAGGCTCTTGTTTAAGTGACTGAGACAGCCCCGCAGCTTTTCAGCAAACACATCTGAGCACATATGTGTAAGTGCATTGTCCCAGGTCACACGCAGAACATAAGATAAATATTCTAGATCTGTTACTGAAGAACTGTAACTGGGAACATTTACATGAGATCAGTTATTGCAATGAAGGAATGAGATAAGTGCTCCCCAGAGGTGTCAGAGGAGAGACAGGTAGGGAGAATCCGAGAAAGCTCTATGAAGGCGATCATAGCCTTTCAACTAAGCTTGGAAGGATAAGTAGGACTTAACAGACATGCATGATGAGATGGCTTGAATCAGGGCAGAGATGTGACAGTGCAAGGCCTTCTTTGAGGCAGCAGCAAACAGGACTGTGGTGTAGGTGGACAGGGGCCTTGGAATATTGCAGCAGGCCTCACTGCTGGTGATCTGTTTGGGTTTCAGTCTGCAAACAGCACAGGAATGTGTTTATTGTGGGTTTTGTTTCACTACTTTGTAGGTGGATAACCTTTGGGCAAGTTATTAAATCTCTGATCCTTAGTGTTCTCATCTATAAAACTGGAACGACAGAACTACTTTGCTAAGTTGTTACAAAGAATAAAGAAAAATAATAGATAAGTGGTTTTGCAGGATGCCTGCTGCACAGTGGACATTTAAAAGATGGATTCTTATCCCCAAAGTTTAATTTAAAATCATACTTCATGCAAAAAGAAAAACTAAGATATTTTCACAGTATATATAATGTAACTTAGTGGAACAATAAACCCAGGGTTCATTTTCCAAACTGTTAATTAATAGCCATATCTTTGAGATACATTTGATTGCAGAGGAGAATAGATTAATTGTATGGATCTATTTCCACTTGTTTATGTTTAGCCATCCATATTTCTGCTTTTGGGCATTTGAATTCTTTCCAGTTTTCAGCTGCTAACAAATAAACCTGTAAGCATTTGTGTATCTCTGTAAATAGCTGTATGATTTCATTTTTCTTGGTTTGATACCTACAAGTGAATCATAGAATAATCAAATTTTTAATTTCCTAAGAAACTGCCAAACAGTTTTGCCACGCAACTGGTCCTTTTTCAAACTGCAACTAGCAATGAATGGGGTCCAGTGGTTTCACGCCCTTACCATTGCTTTGTATGGCCATTCATGGTAATTTTAGACATCTGAGTAAGTACCTTGTGTTGTGCCATTAATTTTCTTTTTCATCTCCCTTACAGCTAATGGCACTCCTCTGCATGACTTATTTGCTGCTTGTCTGTCTTCTTGGCTATATGTTTGTTCAAATTACTTTTTTTTTCTTTTCCTTAATGAATTGTCTGCTTTTGTGATGCTGAGTTTTAAGGCTCCTTATGTATTTTTGATACAGGTTCTTTGCCAGCTTAGTGATTTGCAAATATTTCCTCTCAGTTTGGCTTTCATTCTCTTGACAGTGTCTTTCAAAGGGCATGTGGTCTTAGTCTTAATCTAAGACCAAGTTATCAGGTTCTTGTCTTGTCTTAACCTTTCAGCTTAAGTCTTTATTGGCATGAGTGTGTATTTGCAGTCAGTTGACACACTCTTATATGGACTGCAAAAGAAAGTATTCATTTAGTCTTGGAAAAGCAATTTAAAGGTATTAATGAGTAACATTTGAAAGTACAGAAGTTTGAAAGTTGAAAAATGTTCTCGTTAAAGCTTTCAAATAGCTCTTTGAAAGAAGAAATTTCAAATGAGAATATCATTTTTCAAAAACATTAAGATAATGAATCTAGGCAACAAACATCCTGCACTGCCAACATTGCACAACAGAGGCGTAGCCAGAAATTATATGTTCCTTATATAGGAGAAGTGCCCAGAATGATTTACACGTATCTATTATCCTTGTCAGAAAACCAACACAAACTCATCAGACCTCTCAAACTAGCTGCCAATTTAGGGGACAGAACATAAAATATTGCATGAGGGTGTCCAGTTAGCAAAGTTTCCATGAAGAGTAATTCTGTAGAACCAACTGCCTACCATTCAACAGACAAATTGCAAAAGAAAGAGAAGGAAGAAGGGAAAACTTCCAGATGAAAAGAGTCATGAAAGACATACCAAGTAATTACACTATATGAATTCGATTTCAATCATGATTTTGAAAAATTAGGAGACAATTAGGAAAATTACTGTGGCTCAGTATTTTGATATTCACAAGTCATTTTGTACATGGAGTAGTGAGTGGTATGGTAGTTTTGCTTATTCAAGTATTTTAGCAATACATAATGAATCATTTATGAATCATAGGATGGTGAGTATCTGATTCAAAATAATTAAGAGCAGGGAGGAAGCAGAGATTTGTTGGACACAGAATCTTTTTTTTTTTTTTTTAATTTTTGTGGTACTGGGGATTGAATTTAGGATCTTATGCTTGCCAGGCAGGCACTTAAATCACTGAACTATCTCCTTGGCTCAGCTCATGCTTCATAGGATGAAAATTGTTGACACTGAGGATGGGGCACGTGTAGAGTTCATTATCCATTCTCTATACCTTTGTGTATATTTAGAATTGCTCACAATAAAAATATGAAAAATCAATGTTAAATTTGTTTTAATGGAGATAGAATTGTAGGTAACTTTTTCAAGGAACAGATGGGAAGTTTTTATGAATTTAATCTCAGAAGAAAAATAAGCACTGGAAGACAACTAGAAAAGATCCCCAGCAATAAGGCTTGTTAGGCTTGTGGTCACTGTCATTGTCGTGGGGGAAAGGAAGGTCCTGCATTCTCTAAGGCATGGCATGTATTTTTTATTACTCCTCTCTTATCTTCACTTACTGACTTACAAGTTCCTGGAGGCACACAGTTATGTCTTTTTCCCTAGTTTCCTGGCTTAGCGATTAGTGTTGAGCCTGAAAGGTAAATTAATTAATTAAGCAAGAAAGAAATTTTTTACATGTGGAGCATGTTTTTGTTCGTCGTTTTGTTGCTGGGAAGTTCATGTAATCAGTTTTCCTGGAGTATGTACACACAGAACAGAAGAAAACAGAGCACAATATCCCAGAAAAGAATTCTTACTGGCAGAAACCCCAATTGCATTTGGGTTGTTTTATTACAATTGCTAACCTGATGGTTGAAAGAAGTCCAAAGTTAATTAAAGGTGGGACACTTAGACAAACTTTGATTGTCTCTCCCTGGGTCCGCGGTTTTAGCAAGTGTTTAGATTAGGATCTGGCTTTGTTTATTGGAAAACAATGAAGGATCAGTGATCCTTTTGGATCACAGAGTGTCAATTTATTTCAAACAGTGTAGCTATACTACTCGGTACAATGCTGCCATCTATGGAACGACACTGAAACTTGTAATATAAGACATGGACTTTTGTACAAACAAAACACAATTCAAAACGGCAGAAAATGGCCTTTAAATTAATCCATTGATCAGTTCTTTAGTAGGTTAATAAATGTTTCTTATACTTATTATTATAACTGGGTTTTCCTTTAAAAAAAGTTAAACATACCAGAAAAGTGAATGAAACATTAAACTTTTCATATTCTTATCAGAAACACTGGGATTTTTTCTTTCTTTCTTTCTTTTTTCTTT